CGGGAGTGTGGAGCAGAGACCACCACCCAGGCCGTGGCCCTGGTGGAAGGCTTCCTCCTGAGCCAGGCGGAGGAGCAGAAGGAACAGGTTGAGTTGCAGGTGAGAGACCTTCATTTTGGGAGCACAGAAGGGGTTTGAATGGAATAAACAATATGTTTGAATTCTTAACCCCTCCCTACCAGAATTCTCTGGCATTTGATTGATTGATTGATAATATTTGTATAGCGAATTATCTCACAGGAGAGTGACTCTGGGTGGCATACAACAGTCAAATACAAAGAACCAATAAATACATATAAAGTAATCATTAAAACTATAAAAACAGGAAAGGATGATGTTAAATGTAGGGAGGGAGCCATTGCAAAATCTCCCCAGTCCCATGGGACCCCCAGGCCTGATCACATAGCCAGTTTTTGAGGGACTTTGGGAATGTTAGGAGCGATAAGGCTAACCTCACTTCTAGGGCGAGAATATTCCACAAAGTGGGCACCACAGCAGAGAAGGCCTGCCTTTTGGGACCCGCCAAATGTAATTCTCTGACAGGCAGGACCCACAGCATGCCTTCTCTGGCAGACCTGATAGGACAGGCAGATGTAATCGGGGAGAGGCGGTCCCTCAAATAAATCAGCACCTTGAATTCGACCCAGAAGCAAACTGGCAACCAATGTAGCTTGCGGAGCAGAGCTGTAACATGCACCCTTCTAGGGGCACACATAATAGCCCGGTGCATTTTGTTCCAGCTGAAGATTCCAGCATTCATAATATGTGGAGGGGTTTCACTAACTCTTGTAGGACGTTTTTCCATTATCCATTCTAGAAGTTACATTTGGGACAGACGTTCCTTTCTTACTTTCCAGCCTCACTGATGGAATTTGGGGGCTCTGAAGTTATGTTCAGAGAACAAGAATCCACTTCATGTTGTGTGATGTCAGTTAATTCTTCCTCTTTTCTCCTGCCTCCTATTTCAAGTCCTTCACTGTGGAGATGAGAGATCCAGAGGGAAGGAGGAATCCATCAAATCCTCCTCAGGAGCTGTCCTTCAGGACTATCTCTCAGGAAGATCCAAGTCAGGACACCTCAGGAGGTAATAGAAGGTCCTCCCTTTCCCCAGAGAGATCCCAGCTGTCTCATCTTCTCTATGTCTTTTCTTCTACAGAATACCTCCTCCTATTTTATTAATTATACATTTTAAAATTCTGTCTCCCTCACAGGGAAGAATAGAACAAAATTGTCTCCTCCTTATGGTGGAGCTGAAACAGTGGTTGAACCTCCAACTCAAGTAAGAGGAAGAAATTTATTTATTAGATTTGTATTCTCCCTTCCCTTCAGGAAGTCAGGCTGGTGTACATAGCACTCTCTCCTTCCATTTTTCTCTTTTGTTTGGGCTCCGGTATTTTTGTGTTCCTGAGCAACATGGAAGATTCAAGTGGGATTCTTATTAGGAAATCTTTTTTTTAAGACTGGTACTTAACTCTCCTTGTGGTAGTCAGTCTCTCTAGTTTTCAATAACTAATTTTTTACAAAATCCTTCTCTCCTTCCATTTTTCCCTCTTGTTTGATAAAGTTATTACAATGGTAGCAGCTGTTTAATAAAGAGCCATTCTTTTTGTAATTCTTTGACTTGGAATTGGGCAAGGCTGGTCAAAAATAACTAAATGCTCACACTGGCACATTACCACTTTTAAAAAGCCTTGTCTTATCAGATTGAAAAATAAGCCATTAAAATACAATGAAGATGGCCAGATAGAAAAGTCTCTAAGTAAAAATTGTTCTGAAAGACCACATAGTCAAGGCACTTTTGGCTTGCAAAGTAGTTTTTAATACTCTGACTTGTCCCTAGATCTGGGGGCAAAACAATCCTGCTTTGCAAAGGATGAGAAATGTCCTTCCCAGGAAATTTTCTCTGCTTTCTTATCTCCCATTCAGCCAATGGCTCAGACAGACAGACAGACAGACAGACAGACAGACATCCAGAAAGAAACTGGGATTACTTTCACTGAATGGCACTGAAAGTGCTGCAGAATCAATCAAGTTGATAAAACCTTCCTGAAATATTTCTTTAGTCAAAGGCTTTTGGCTCTGTCCATTTTCTCACCTAAACCTTGGAATCCTACCAAGCAGAGTCATTTAACTTTGTGCATATCTTTGCTTTGGGAATTTGTGAAGAATAAGACAGATCTTGCAAATCCTCCTGGGCCTGTTCTCTTCTTTTTTGCCTTGTCCAGGAGGGTCTTGTGTCCATTTATTTATTTATTTATCGATCAATCAATCAATCAATCAATCAATTTATATAGCCACCCATCTCACCACAGGTGATTCTGGGAGACATACAACAAAGCCTCTTTGAGGAGGTGGCTGTGTATTTCTCCGAGGAGGAGTGGTCTCAACTGGATCCTCACCAGAAAGCACTGCATTGGGAAGTCATGCTGGAAAATTATAGGACCGTGGCCTCTCTGGGTAAGAGTTTGCTACTCTCCAATCGGAGAGTTCAGGAAGACATTTTGTACTTGTATATCATCAGCTTTTTTTTTTAATTATAACTTGTTAAAAGAAATTTTATCAGAATAAAAACAAGTTTTGTTTAAGTTTTTAAGAGGAAATAAAGAAGATAAAGTAATAAGCGAATAAGAAAAATGTATAAAGAAA